CTCCTCCTCCTCCTCCCCGCATCGGGCCTCGGGGGGGAGGGCCAGGAGGGGGCCTCGTGTGGCCGCGGGGGGCCTCGGCCGCGCGCAGATTTCCTGGGCTCCCGGAGCCGAGGAGCGGCCCAGAAGTCCGAGCCCCTGCCGAAGCCAGCGGGGTCCGAGTAGTCGATCGACCTCCTCGTCCTCGTCCTCCTCGTCCTCCTCGTCCTCCTGGTCCTCATCCTCATCCTCCTCGTCCTCGTCCAAACCCGAGCGCGCAACCCGCTGCTACGTGATCGCAGTCAGCCATCCAAGGACACCAATCTTCCCGCAGCGAAGGCTACTCCGGCGAAAAGTCACTCTGACGCGTAGCCAATCTGTACACGTCGTTCATTTCTAATCGTGTTCATTACATAATGTGCTCGTTTCTATGTATTCCTGGCCCCCTAGTGGCCAGGAAGAGGCCCAGGATAGAACAATCAGAAATGAGAGGATCTTGGCCCCCAAAAAACATCAAAGAACTCTCGAAGAATTAGAAATGAACCATGTGTACACATCTGATGGACCCCAAAGTTGACTTGCGCTCTGAATCCACCAGACACGCGTAGGATGTTCGCAGATCTACGAGCACTCTACGTATGACTCGACGGTGGACTCAGGCTGGGGGGCGCATCAATTCTGCAGTCGATCCCCAACTCGATTCAATTCGTCCCTGTCTCGGCGTCTTGACGGCACGGCAGGCTCACGCCACGACGACATCAGCGTTGGTTTCTGACACCGCGCGGACTGCACAGCCGTGAACGTGTGCTCCCAGCCCTCCGGTAGCGCGGATCGCTCCCTACTGGACGAACTCGGGCCGCCGGCGGCGCTCAGCCTGGAACGCCCGCGGCCCGGTGGCTGCCAAGAGGGCATGGCACGAACCTGCCGTAATAGGGGGGCTAGAAATTGGGAGAACGAGGTTCCAGGATCGAGGCTCGGGGAGTTGCTTTCGAGCGTCTTGGGCGACGTCTGGGTCCTCCCAGGGCGCCCCGGGCACCTCCGACACCTCCAGGGGCAGCCGGACCGCCCCCGGAGGCCAGCGAGCCATCCCAGAGGGCGAGCAGTCTCAGTCGACCTTGGTTGCGTCTGGCCTCCAGGGGCCTGCTCGGCTGGTGGCCCGGCCTCAAGGCCTTTCGGGAAGGCGATGCCACCAGCGCCGCCAGCGTGGGGTGGCAGGGGGGGTTCTCCCAGCGGTGTGGTCTCCCCTCCCCGCTCAAAACAAGATCCGCTCGGGAAGGCATCGTGGGCCTCCTCGTTGCACGGGGGCCCGCTGGTGCTTGTGGTGCTGGACAGAAGATCCCACCAGCCCTCTGGGCGCAGGTGGTCTAATGATGTCTTCCTTTCCTCTTCCCAAAAAGCCCTCTCCCCTGGACTTTTTTTGGGGGGGGTCGCGGGTGGTCGGAGGGCCCTTTTTCGGCTCCTGGGAGGGCCAATCTTTGACACCCCTCACGAGGATCGTGGCCCCCGAGGGGGGGGCCTCGATCGGGACCCTCCCTCCTTTGATCGATAGCCTCGAAGATGGCCCCAAGAGGCGCTCCAGGGCTCACAAGAGAGCCCCAAGAGAGCCCCAAGAGGGCTCCGACAGGGTCCCGAGAGGGCCCCAAGAGGCACCCGAGAGGCCCCCGAGAGGCCCCCGAGCGGCCTCAGAGAGCCCAAGATGACCTCCAAGATGGCTCAGATAGCCCAAGCTGGCTCAAGATGGCTCCCAATATGCTCCAAACGGTCCCAAGACCACTCCAAGAGCGCTCCAAGAGAGCCCCAAGAAGCGATTTGCAGGCTCCTGACGGGGGAGCTGAGCTCCAAGAAGCGGTTCGCGGGCTCCTGAGGGGGGAGCTGAGTTGGGGACCCCCCCTGTAATCGATGGCCTCCAAGATGATCCCAAGAAGCCTTCCAGGGTTACCAAGAGGATTCCAAGAGGGCCCCAAAAACTCCCAGAGAGCACCAGCAGCAGCAGCAGCAGCCGCAATAATACCTTTAGATGGTTCCATCAGTCCTCGTCCGCGTCGTCCTCCTCCTAGTCCTCGTCCTCCTCGTCCTCGTCCTCATCCGCTTCCTCGTCCTCCTCGTCCTTCTCGTCCTCCTCCTCATCCTCCTCGTCCTCGTCCAAGCCCGAGCGCGCAACCCGCTGCTACGAGATCGCAATCAGCCATCCGGGGACACCAATCTTCCCGCACCGAAGGTTACGGCGAAAAGTCACTCTGACGCGTAGCCCATCTGTACACGTCGTTCATTTCTGATCGTGTTCATGTCTAGTTGTGTTCGTTTCTGAGTGTTCCTGGCCCCCTAGTGGCCAGGAAGAGGCCCAGGATAGAATAAGTAGAAATGAGAGGATCTTGGCCCCCGAAACAATCAATTAGAAATGAGCAACGTGCAGTGTCGCGCCACCTCTCGCCGAGCGAGGGTGGCCCAGCGGCCAGGGGCTCGTTCTGCCCGGGGCAGGTGGCGGGGAGCTGCACCAGCAGGCAGCCGACCCGCTCCTCCCAGGGAGCACGTTAGGGGGGGGGGGGTCTGGCTCAGGGCAGGGGGGGGGGCACAACGATCCGGAACCAGCAATACGTCGCCGATAAATCTGCGATGAACTGGTGCATGTGGTCGATGCATCCCCACCCTGAGCCTCTCCTCCCCCCCCCCAACGTCGGCCCTGGATCCTCGCGGAGCAGGTCCTCAGCGCCGCGCAGCGTGGTGAGCTCCGCGCCGTTGACGAAGATGCTGAGGACGTCCACTGTGGGGCTGCCCGAGCGCGCGAGGAACGCGGGCAGCTCAGCGTCAAGCGTGCTCGCCTGCACCTGAGCGTCGTTTCACCGAACCCCATCCCCACCGGCATGGCCGTGGCCCAACTACGTAAGCATAAACAGTCGGAGGTCCGCGCGAATGTCTTGAATCAGCGATGGAGCACCCATGGCGCGCTCCGCGAGCCAGGAAGGGGGGCCCAACGCCGATCCAAGAACTCAGCGCGAACCTCCGAAAGTTGATGCTCCTTGCGTCATTGTGTGTTTCTCGAGAAATGTGTGTTTGTGTGGGTGTGTGCTTGTGTCTTTGTCTGTTTGTGTGTTTGGTTTGCTTGTGTGTTTGTCTGTGGGTGTGGGTGTGTGGGTGTGGGTGTGGTGTGTGCGTGTGTGCTTGTCGTTTATGTTGTGTGTGCTGTGTGTTGTGTTGTGTGTATGCGTGTTTTGTGTGTGCTGTGTGTGTGCGTCCGTCCGTGCATGCGTGCGTGCGTGCGTGCGTACATGCGTGTGTGTGTGTGTGTGTGTGTGTGTGCGTGTGTGTTTGTGTGTAGGTGTGCGTGTGTGCGTGTGTGTGTGTATGTGTGTGCGTGCGTGTGTGTGTGTTTGTGTGTGTGTGAGTGTGTGTCTGTGAGTGTGTGTGTGTGTGTGTGTACGTTTGTGCGTGTGTGCATGCGTGTGTGCGTGTGTGCATGCGTGCATGCGTACGTGCGTGCGTGTGTGTGTGTGTGCGTGTGTGTGTGTGTGTGTGTGTGTGTGTGTGTGCGTGCGTGCGTGCGTGCGTGCGTGCGTGCGTGCGTGCGTGCGTGCGTGCGTGCCTGCATACTTGCGTACATGCGCGTGCGCGTGCACGTGTGCGTGTACGCGTGCACGTGTGCGCGTGCGCTTGCACGTGTGCGCGTGCGCGTGCACGTCTGCGCGTGCGCGTCCGTGTTCGCGTGCGCGTGCGCATGCGCGTGAGCGTGCGCATGCATGTGCGCGTGTGCATGTGCGCGTGCGCCTGCGTGTGCGTGTGCGTGTGCGTGTGCGTGTGCGTGTGCGCGTGCGTGTGCGTGTGAGTGTGAGTGTATGTGTGTCGATGTGTCTGTGCGTGTGTCTGTGTGTCTGTGTCTGTGTGCCTGTGTGGCTGTGTGTCTGTGTGTATGTGTGTCTGTGAGTATGTGTGCCTGTGCGTCTGTGTGCCTGTGTGCCTCCGTGTCTGTGTGTCTGCGTGCCTGTATGCCTGCGTGTCTGTGTGTCTGTACGTCGTTATGCCTGTGATTGTGCGCCTGTGTGCGTGTCTGCGTTTCTGTGTGTCTGTGTGTATATGTGTCTGTGTGTCTGTGTGTCTGTGTGTCTGTGCGTCTTTGTGCCTGTGTGTCGGTGTGTCTGTGTGTCTGTGTGTCTGTGTGTCTGTGCGTCTGTGTCTCTTTGTCTGTGGGTCTGTGTGTCTGTGTCTGTGTGTGTCGGTGTGTCGGTGTGTCTGTGTGTCAGGGTGGCTGTGTATCTGTGGGTCTGTGTGGCTGTGTGACGGTGTGTCTGTGTATGTGTGCCTGTGTGTCTGTGCGTCTGTGTGCCTGTGCGTCTGTGTGGCTGTGTGTCTGTGTGTCTGTGTGTCCGTGCATGTGTGGTGGTGTGTCGGTGTGTCTGTGTGCCTGTGTGTCTGTGTGTCTGTATCTATGTGTCTATGTGTGTGTGAGACGGTGTGTGTGTGTGTCTGTGTCTATGTGTGTGCCTGTGTGCGTTTCTGTGTGCCTGTGTGTCTGTGTGTCTCTGTGCCTGTGTGTCTGTGTGTCTGTGTGGCTGTGTGTCAGTGTGTGTGTCTACGTGTTTGTGTGTATGTGTGCCTGTGTGCCTTTGTGTGTGTCTGTGTGTCTGTGTGTCTGTGTGGCTGTGTGTGAGTGTGTGTGCCTGCGTGTCTGTGTGACTGTGTGCCTGCGTGTTTGTGTGTGTCTGCGTGTCTGTATGCCAGTGCGTCTGTGTTTCTGTGTGTCCGTGTGTCTTGTGTCTGTGTGTCTGTGTGTCTGTGTGTATGTGTGGCTGTATGTTTGTGTGTCTGTGTCTGTGTGCCTGTGTGTCTGTTTGTCGGTGTGTACGTGTGTGTGTGTGTGTCTGTGTGTCTGTATGCCTGTGTGTCAATGTGTCTCTGTGTGTGTCTGTGTGTCTGTGCGTCTGTGCGTCTGTGTGTCTGTGTGTGATATTGTGGTAGTGTGGTAATGTGATCGTGTGATCGTGTGATCGTGTTTGTGTGTGTGCACGCGTGTGTTGTGTGTGTTGTGTGTTGTTTGTTGTGTTTAAGTGTGTGCAAATGTGTGCAAGTGTGCGGGATAAAGAGGGTAAGTGTAAGTTTGTGTGTTGTGTGTTGTATGTTGTGTGTGATGTGTGATGTGTGTGTTGTGTATGTGTTGTGTGCGCGTGTGTACTGTGTGCTGGTGCGGCTGGGTACCATCGGCCGATGGCGATGGGGATCTGTGGGCGATGTTGTGTGTGCGTGTGTTTGTGAGCAGGTGTGTGTAAAGTGTGTGCGTAAATGTGAAAGAGTGTGTGTGTGTGTAATTGTGAGTGTCAGTGTGAGTGTGTGAGTGTGTCTGGGTGTTGTGTTGTGTTGTGCGTGTTGTGTGGGTTGTGTGTTATGTGTGGTGTGTGTTGTGTATGTTGTGAATGTTTTGAGTGCGCGTGTGTGTTGTGTGTGCTGGTGTGGCTAAGATAGCATCGACCAATGGGGAATCTTTGGGCGATGCTGACACCTGGCCCCGATAAACAGAAAAGAAGTTGGTCCTACACTCGATGACGTAGGGACCCCACGCGGTTGCTTATGCGAGCCGCCAGCGCCGCAAGCTATACTGGAAACGAGGGCGCCTACGCGAGGCCTTACGCGGGCAGCTACTGCGCGGGTGTCCGCGCTAATGAACCCACTTTTCTTTTGCGTCGTTCACTGAAGCTTAACGAAGAAACTGGTCCTGGCGGGAAAGATTCAGGGTGATCAAGCCCGACTCAGGGCCATTGAGGCGGACTGAGCCAAACTGAGCCTAGGATTAAGCAAGATTGAACCGAATTCAGCGGGCCAGATGAAACGGGATAATTTCGCTGAGTCCATCTGAATCCGGGATTGCACGGGATAATCCCGCTGAGCGGTTTTTGAGCCGGATTAATCGGGACTATGCCAGATTCGGCTGGTTCTCGACCACGGATACACCAGCCGAGATGCTGGAATTCACCTCCCAGGAGTTGCATCATCAGCACCTGGCCCTGGTAGGAGCCGTGCTCGGTCGCCTTGGAGGCCTGCTCGCAGCGCCACGCGGTGTCCACCAGAGTGCCGCCTCCGGTGCCCTGCAGGACCCCCAGCCGCTGGCCATCCACCAGGCGGTCGAGCGCGACCACTGGCCGCACACCGACCCAGGACATGTTGCCGCTGCCGCCTGCGTGCTCCCAGTCCGCGATCTTGTTCAGGATCATGTTCTCTCTCAGCACCTGCACTGCCTCGGCGTCGGGCTCCACCGCAAGGCCCCTGAGAGATCCCTCGGGCATCAGCGCCACGGCGGCGAGGAAGCAGTCTCCGTGATGCGCGCCCACGTCGACAAAGTGAAAGACCTGGCTGCCCGGTTCTGCGTCCAACACCCTCTGGGCATGACTCCACAGCACCTCCACAACCGGCGTCTCGCACTGCAGCCTGCAGTGCGCACGCAGGCGATCGCCCAGCAAGGTCCGCCGGGCCACTGTCCGCACGGCCACTCCGCACCGCAACTCCTCCGAGCCCTGCGCACTGCGAGCGCTCAGGGCTGCCGTGTGGCCCCGCAGGGAGTTGATGCCGTGGAGGGCCATGCAGTGCGGGAAGCGGCCACACGCACTGCTTCGCCAGCGCCCGGCCGACGCCATGGTGGAGAGCGGCCCTGCTGGGCTCACCTCGCCCTGGACCGGCTCTGCGAGCGGCGGGGCGCTGCCTGGGTGCCGCTGGCCACGCCCTCCCTCGCGCCGCTGGTTGATCGCCGCGTCCAGCGCGTCCTGCTGCCGCTCCGCACTGGAGCTGCCGGCTGGCTCCAGAGCCCGCGGCATCTGCAGCAGGAGCACCCCTGGCAGCGAGAGCGCGTCCAGGCCGTCCAGTAGCCCGACGTGGCTCTCCCAGATCAGGAACAGTGCCAGCCCTCGCGAGGGGTCCTCAGGCAGAGGCACCGCGGCGGCTCCAGTTGCAAAGTTGCGCGCCACTCTCTCCGACCTGGATACCCTGGCAGCGATGCTGCTCCAGAGCATGCTGCCCCCCTGCCCAAGGCGTGCGATCTCGGCTGCCTCCGCGTCAACGACGTGGGCGCCGTTGGCCTCGTGGTACATGACGCCCAGTAAATGCAGCACACGCAGGCGGTCGAAGGCTGCCACTGGCGTACCGGCCTCTTTGTGTATCGTGTGGAAGGCCCTCCCGAATCTCGCAAGCAGACCGAAGAAGCCCCAGTTCGCACCGGCGATGCTGGCCCATGAGGGCGCTGCCTCCACGTCATCGCCAGACGGCGGCAGCAGCAGCATCGCGAGCGGAGTCCGCTGGCCTTCCTGGTTGTGGGCCACGGAGTTCCACAGCACTGCCGCCAGATCCTCTCGGACGAGCACCGGCTGAGACAGCGGCGGCTCTCCCGCCGAGCCCGGATCCGCTGAACATCCCTCTCCGGACCCCTGCCAGGATTCATCCTGACTCGTTCTGCTTCGAGGCGCATCCAGCCGTGGCGGCGAGGAGCCTCCAGGAGGAGCCCCACATGGGGCGAGCCACGCCCGGGGGAGGGCCGCCGCTGCCTCGACGAGGCTCCCCCACAGGCAGCAGACGTCGCGATGCAATTCGCAGCGGGGCTCCCAGAGGAGGTCTGCACCCCTGCCCCCGGGGACCGGCCGCTTCATCCTGAGCCCCTGCTTGACGGTCACCGGGCCCCGCTGGGGGCCCCTGGAGGCCGAAGACGGCCAAGCGAACGAAGGATTGCAAAAAAAAAAACCCTTCGTTCAAACGAAGGGTTTTTATTTTTGCAATCCTGGTTTTTTTTTGCAATCCTTCTCTCAGCGTGTCTGCTACACGACGCGACGAGGTCGAGGTCCGATCCTCGACGCCGAGCTTCTCGCCCGCCGTGCCCTGCTCGCTGCGCAGCAGCTCCCACAGCAGCAGCCAGCTCGCCCAACGCCCGAGCAGGCAGTCCTCCTCTTAGGAAGGCACAAACTATACACCAACGCCGATCCTGGCCAGGATCACCCTGGGCCCAGGATCGCTGTATACGCCCTCCTGCCTTGCGCAAGAAGGCATATACACCGATCCTGGGCCCAGGGTGATCCTGGGCCAGGATCGGTGTTGGTGTATAGTTGGTGCCCTCCGACCTCTGGCGGCAGCGGGCTCAGCAGAGCCCTGTGCAGCTGGACGACCGACGACGTCCCGACAAACCTCGTCATCACGGAAGACGAAAAACACGACACAAACATACAGTCAGCGCAACCGAAGGGGACGGGTGCAGCGAGAGAGGCTAGGGATCGGCCGAAGGGGAAGGATGCGACTGCAACCTTGGAAAGTCGACATCCTTCCGATCCGTATTGAATGTATACATTCGGAGCTCCGCGAGAATCCCACCAGCCCTTTACGGCGTAAGTGGTTTAAGATGTTTACTCTTCCACCCCTTTCTTCCCCTTCGAGGAGGGGTTTACCCCTCCCTCTACCCCCTACCCCCTCCCCTGGACCTGGACGGGGCGTTTCGCGAGCGGTCGGAGCGTCCAAAACGGCCTCGGCGAGGAAGCCAAAATCATTGGTTTTACAAGGATGTGGGCCCCATGCTGGCCTTTTTGGGGGGAGGCTCATTGAAGCTCCCCCCTTCATTGATCGATCTCTTCCGAGATGGCCCCACGAGCGCTCCCAAGGCTCCCAAGGGTGCCCCAAGAGTGTCCTAAGAGGTTGCCAGGAGGCCCCAAGAGGCCCCCAAGAGGCCCCCAAGAGGCCCCCAAGAGGTTCCCAAGAGACCCCCTAAGAGGCCCCAAGAGGCCCCCCAGAGGCACCCAAGACGCTGCAAGAGGCCTCTGCGTTTTGGCCACATGTTGGCCTCCTGGGAGAGGGGCACTGCCTAAGATGACTCCAAGAGCGCCTGGGAGAGCAAAAGATGACCTCCAAGATGGCTCAAGATATCACAAGATGCCTCAAGATGGCTCCCACGATACTCCAAGAGGCCCCCAGACCGCTCCAAGACGGCTCCAAGTGGCCAAAGAGCTCCCCCAGGAGGCCCCGAAGAGGCCCAAATCCTTCCAAAACCTTAGGAAAATCAATGTTTTTGGTTTTCTCGCCTTTTCGCTTCCGATGGCCATCCGAAGCCTCAACATGGCTCCAAGATGGCCCAAGAGGGCTCCAAGAGCGCTCCCAAGGCTCCCAAGAGCGCTTTGAGATGGCCCCAAGAGGCGCCCACGAGGCCCCAGGAGGCCCCAACAGGCGCCCAAGAGGCCTCCATGAGGCTCCCAAGAGACCCCCAAGAGGCCCCAAGAAGCTCTCCGAGGCACCCAAACGGTCTAAGCGGCGTCTGGGACCGCCAAAAGGCCCCCAAGACTCTCCAAGAGGCAAGAGGCCTCAACTGGGGGACCCTTCCTCTGCGTGCTGCCCACTTCCCTGATCGAGGCAATTCCTCTGGGCACTGCGTCTGGATGGGCTGGTGGGGCTATTTTTTGTCGCAGCCGCAAGCGAAGACGAAGGCGGCGTCAAAGTAAGGTCGACCCGGGCTACGGGCGAAGCCGAATTACCCAGCGAGCGCGCTCACGGCTGCCGAGGCTGCCGCCGAGGGAGGCTGAGGGGCGCCGGGGGCTGAAGGCTTGCTGCAGAACCTGCCAGGAGAGCTAGGCGGCCAGCGTGCAGGCATCGCAGTGGCGCCTGGTGGGGTTACTTTTGTTTCCGTCGCAGCCGCAAGCGAAGGTGCATGCGGCGTCAGAGGTCAACCTGGGTTGCGGGCGAAGCCAGCTGGTGGGGTTACTTTTTTGGTCGGCGGCTCCGAGGCAGCGGACAGGGAGCGGAAGGCGTCGTCTGGGCCAGCAGGCGAGGCTAATTAGCTACAACAGGCAACGCTGATGGGGTTGTTTTTTTTGATTTTGCGGCTCCAAGGACGATTCCAGAGAGCGGGTCGTATCGAGCATGGGGCAGCACGCAAGATAATTGCCAGCGGGCCAAAGCCAACGCCGGAGTGCACCTGTGCCAGAGAAGGATGGTGGGGTTGCGCGAAGCGTCTAGAATTTCTTGCGGCGCTAGGCCCCCCTCCCTGGAGCACGCTCGGAGCGGCGCCAGGGGGGGCCAGGGCCGATCCCGGAAATCCGCGCGGGGCTTCGAAATCCGCCGACCCTTCGGCGCGTGTGTGACACGCTGTCGTCGTCGTCGTCGTCGTCGTCGGCGGCGGCGGCAGCGGCGTCGTCGGCGTCTCCTTCGTCGTCGACGTCCCAAAGAAATTCAGGAACGAACGAAAGGAAGAAAAGGAACGTCGTAGTTAAGTCGATCCCCTTCCTTTTCTCCCCCCCCCCTGACGGGGCAAGAGGGGTTTATACGGGGGGGGAGAAATGGTTCTGGGTCAGATTACCGCCACCCCCCGGGGTGCTGGCGGCCCCCCTTCCCTCCCCGGTCCTCCTATAGACAGGGAGGACAAGGTGGGGTCCCCCCCTTGGGGGGGGGGAGGTCCTGGAAGTGGGTCCCCAGGGAGGTCCTACCTATGGTGGGGTAAGGTGGTCCCGGGTCAGAACGCCACCCTCCCCGGGTCCACGCGGGTCCAGGGAGAGGGGCGCCAGCGGGGTCCGGGGGAAGTCTGGCCTTACGGGTCGGAGGCACCGGCCCCAAGACCTTCCCAATATTATGTTTGTGTCGATTTGTCTTCTTCGACATCAGCCAGCGGCCCTCGTTCTTCTTGCGGAAAACGACGGTGGCCAAATCCGGATTGTGTATATACACTATTAGGGTCTGCCGCAGCTGCAGCCACATCCTTCGGGCGCCCGAATGCACCACCCGCTCGCACGACAGGTCTTCCGCGCTGCGGCTCCGTGAAAGGTCCGCAGCTGCCGCGCAGACTGGCGCAAAAGCCGCGAGGACAAAAAGTGCTGCCGGGCCTAGGAGCATGGTGGCTGCTGGTACTGCTCCACCGATCGCCAACATTGGATGCGGCTCCAGCAGCCCCTGGCGCTGGTAGGACCGAAGATGGCACCGCGCTGCCAACAGCCAATGATGCGGCCACCTACCATGGCTCCAGCTTCCCCATCCGTGCACGCGCTCGAGCTGAAATGGCTCCGGAGGAAGATGGCTGCTGAATGCGCACTATCCGTGAATCAGCCCGCTCGTGCCAAGCCCAAGGCCAATTCTTATAGTCCATGTCCCGTCAATGGCGCCAGTCCCTGAGCACAATCAACGCCAATCCCCGAGCAGAATCGACGGGCAGCTTGGCCATCGAAGTCCAGCGCTCCACAAAGAAAAACAACGATGGATGCCTTTCGCATGGCCCTGGAGCGCACCAGGCCCTGGCTGGGCGCCCCCGCAGGTCTGCGAGGAGAGCCCCTGGCGCACGGCCCAGAGCCCGAGGGGGGCAGGGCCATGAGCGAAGCAGACGGGCTGCGGAATCACGTGGACTGTGGAGGACCGGTACCCGAAAACCCAAACCCCCTCGGGTCATGAGAAAAACATGACGGGAGGTTCTTGCTATTTTCGGCCTCTGCGGGCCTTCACCGGGCCCCGCGACCGTCAACAAAACAATCATGATGTCGGGGGTCTGGGAAAGCCGGCGCACGGCCTGGCCATGGGGCGAGATCACTACGGTGAGGTCCTTGGATAAGGAACCATTGGATAAGGAGTCCAGGGTCTGGAAGCCAGTGAAGTTCAATCGTGGATTGGCAATGGATGTCGCTGCCGCCCTCATGAAATAAGGAATCCCCAAGGGTATGAAGCCCCATGAGCACATTCCTTACCCAACGCCCCCACTGAGTAGACTCTCTGGGTGCAGAACGGATACGAAAGAGGGGAAGCGGCAAGAAAGGAAAGTGAGAAGGAACAGCGAGAAGAACGTAGATAAGAAACACAAAGGCAAAGGGATAGCGCACAAGAGGGGGCGAGCCTTCGCTGCGCTGCAGCCTTCCTCTTGTCTCGTTTCCCTCCCCATCTGCTCCTTTTGCACTGCTGATCCCCCAGCAGTGGCAAGCACAGCAGGACAAACCAGCGAATGCGAGAAAAGCTTGCGCAGCAGTGCCACAGGTCACCAGCACTACAACGACTGGCTGATCCCCCGCGGAAGCTGCAGGGAACGGCTGCCCCAAGCCGAACTGCTTCGAAATATTATAGCCAAGCACACACACACACATAAGAAAAACAAAGACACACACACACACACACGCACAAAACACACGCAGCCCAGCTCCGGAAGAGAAAGCGTGCAGGCAGTGGAAACACCCACGCCAATTCTGGAAAGCCAGAACCCCAAAAAGTGTTGCCATCGGCGACACGCCAGAGTGACCCTAGGCAAGAGTGACCTTTGGTGCGCGGACTACGGGGGCGCGAGGTGGCCAACTCCAAGCGCGCAATCGGCTGCTATCGCATCGGGCTCAACGATCAGGGGACCCCGATGAGCCCGCACCAAAGGTACCTCCGGCGAAGGGTCACTCTTACGTCTAGTCGATGCCATCTCTTGGGCGGGCAACTGTCCGCTCCGCTGGCTTCTGCCGGCTTCCGCGGGCGGAGCCCCCCCCTCTCGGCGGTGGACAAGCCTCCCTTTAGCAAACCTCCACTTAGTGAAAACGGCCGGGGACCGAAACCGACGGACCTGGACCCGCAAAAATGGCGGCCGTGACGCCCTCTCGCGAACCGAAAACGGCCAACTCCTCCATCGACGTGTCTAGAGGAAAAAGAACTATGCACATACACCGATTCTGGCCAGACCCATCCTGAGCCCAGGATCGGTGCATATGCCCTCCTACCTTGGCCAGGAAGGCATATGCACCGATCCTGGGTCAAGGATGGACGTTGTCAGGATCGGTGCATGTGCATATTTCTCTTCGCCCGAGTGTCGGGGCAGGAGGTCGATCCGCCCCCGACCCTCGCTTTACTTCCACGAGCTTCCGCCGCCTTCCCCGAGCTTCCGCCGCCCTGCTACCGCCTGCCGCCCAGGAGGAGACACGAGACACCAGCTCCGTCGACCCTCAAAAGGCGAGGCCCTCTCGAGGGCGCCGGATGCTCACTCAGCCAGTCGCATGATTCTCACAAACGGGGCAGAAGAGGAAGACCCCGTCGCCACAGACGATCTTGGTGTCGTGGCTCCCGTACTGATTGCACGCGGCCCCGCCGAAGTGCTTCTGCGCGTCTCCGCACTGATCGCCGCAGTTTGTTCGTCTCACGCCCATGCTCTTGAATCCTCCTACTGCTCCTCCTCCTTCTCCTCCTCCGCCTCCCCACCATCATCAGCATCACCATCCTCATCCTCATCATCGTCATCACCATCATCAGCCGCATCATGATCATCCTCATCCCCATCTTCATCATCATCCTCATCATCCTCTTCCTTTCTCCTTCTGGCCTCAGAAAGCAAGGGTCATCGCCGGGAAGTCTGCCTGTCTCTGTCGTATTTGAGCCGCTCCTCGTCGCCAGGAGCTGGGGGAGCATGACGGTTCCACGGGCGTGCTTGCAGTGAATGCAAAATGGAATTAGATGAGCCCTGCTCCCATCCCTCGTCAATTGGTACCATCTTCATCATCCTCTCACTCCTCCCCCTCGTGCTGCGCGTCCGCCTCCTCGTCGTCCCCCTCGTCCAAGTAATCCTCCTGCTCTCCCTCCTGGACATCCTGCTTCTCCTCATCCTCCCCCTCCTCATTCCATTCCTGCTCCATCAAAGCTCCGGCCACCTGGTCCTCCTCACCAGCATCCGTACCATGCTCATCTTCCTCGCCATCAGCATGTACCTCTGCAGCACTCCTCCTGAGCCACTGTCTCTGCATATGCCTCCTCTTCGTCTTCCCTCCCATCCTGCCCTTTGGCATGTCCTGACAAATTCAGCGTTGGTTTCGGACACTGCATGGATCATTTACGTTCGACTCAGAACGATCGGGGCTTTCTGATAGCGCGGACCTTTCGTTATCGGCTGGTTCCAGGGCACTGGCGGCGTTCAGCCGCCGGGGTCGCCGACGCGCCAACGTCGCGCGAAACTTCCGGAATCGATTGTCTTCTGAGCTCACCGAGGCAGTGCTGACCGAATACGCACGGAGCGTCTGGACCTACCCGCGCGCCCCTCGGGCCGCCTCGGGCGGACAGGCCAATGCAAGCGCTCATCATCTGTAACGGCCAACGGCTGTGTTCCAAATCCCTCGGTTCAGAAGGGGCGCCCGCACCGTGGCCGCATGGGGCTTGTTCGCGTCGTCACGTCTGGGGCCTTGGTTTCGAACACCGCGTGGACCCTCGAACCTTGAGCGATCGAGGTCTTCTGATAGCGCAAATCTTTCGATATCGGCAAGTTTCCGGCCAGCAACGGCGATCAGCCTTGAACACCTGCGCTGTGGTCGACACGGCGCGAAGCTGCCGCAGTCGCATGCCCATGCTCTCCGTCGAGAGAAAAGCTTCAGCACCGTTCTGCGGCAACTCATGGGAGCCTCCCATACCATCTGGCTCTTGCGAATCGACGCTGCTTGACCCAAAATCGACGCCAAATGGACGCTAACCGACGCGAATCAGACGCTAAATCGGCGCGACCTCATCGATTACCAAACGCTACTCGACTCTAACGCGCTCCACAAACGGAACTACGAGGGTGCAGACGTCCCGCGATGTGCTGCCGAAGCCCTGCCACTGGCCCAGAATTCTCCGGCGTGCAGATAACGCGCCGAATGCCATGCCCTCGTGCACGCCCAGGGGCTGCCCACAGCCCTGTGACTCCGTCCGTGCGCCTGCCTGCCATTCCAGGGGGTTAGATGCTCGCTCTGGGGGGCCTTCCCAGAGCCACTCGCTCCACTCGTGCGTCGAGGCTGCGTCGAACGTCCGTCCCCGGGAGTCGAACTCGAGTCGGACTGGAATCGAACCTGAGTCGAACAGAACCGTCAGGCGGCTCACAGGAAGGTTCTCCGATCGAGCATCGGACAGAGGTGCTCCGCCGCCAATTCTGCGAGAATAGGTGGGCCCGTCGGGGCTGGTCTCGGGTCCCGCATTATCATTAGGCGCTGGGTAGCTGGCCCTCGGAGCGCGAATCGGGCTAGCATGAAGGAAACAAGACAAGGGGAAGCGGTTCATGGAAAAGCTTCCCCGACTTCGCGGCCCTGGGCCCTCCACGGGCCCCAGAACAATCAAGAACGACCCACGATGAAGACATCGTCCCAGGGAAAGCCCTCGGGTCTGCGGCCCGCTTCCCCCAGACCCCCTTCCCATCACGCCGACCTCCCCTCCCCTCCCCGTTCGCCTGAGGGGGGGCGACGGGGCGGGGGTGCGGCGCAGGGGAGGAAACCTCGAGCTGGAATCGGCGATACATCGCAGATAGATCGGCAACAGGCCCCCGATAGCAAATACAGACCCTCCTGAGCGGGGTGCGCTATCGGGCCCCTATCGGCGATCAGTGGGCCACGAGGGGTCGAAGCCTTACCCCCTGAACCTACCCCCCCCCCCATGACATTGCCCACGATCGCCGACCGCCTCCAGCCGACTGCACTGGCGACGAAGGGCGGCGCCAGTGTCGCTTCGTCTGTCCGACCTCCTGCGCGCACACAGCGCCTGTGGCGTACCGCGCCGACTGCTTCGGTGCGGATACCTGTCTGCTGCTACTTTGACTACCTACCAGACCACCCCAACCCAACCCGAAGGCACGAATTTGACCCGAATTTCGGGTTGGGGGGGGTACGGGGACCATGTGTTTTTTCGACGTTCCCCGATCCCCCCCCACTGGAAATGGAGGGCAAATTGAAGCCTTCGGGTTGGGTTGGGATGGTTTGGTGGGTGGTGATACTTCTAGTATCCCCTCCCCTCCCCAGCCCCAGAAACGGCTCCCAAGGGGGCCTCCAAGCGGCCCCCGGGAGGCCCCCGAGAGAGGCCCCCCGCGACATCCCAACGAACATCCTGGAGGCCTATGGCTCACACCCCTGTCGCGGTGGAGGGATGGACCGAGCTGTCTAATCCCCTCGTCTCCCCGCTCCCCAAGAGCAAATCTCGAGTGGCGAGTCGGGGCTCCACGTCCCTGGCTCTGGAGCTGGGCGGAGCGGCGAGATCCCTCGCCGCAGCAGGCGAGCGGTGGGTCTGGCCCGCTGTGCGTCAAGCCTGACAGGCTGCGGACGAATGCTGAGGGACCCACAGATTGGGAAACGAAGAATGACATAAATTTAAAAACTCGGAGGTCCGCGCGGATTTCTCTGATCGGCGCTCGGGCCCCCTGGCGGCGCCTCCGGTGCCGCCCCTGGCGCGCTCCGCGCGACAGGGAGTGGGGTCGAGCGCCGTTCCGAGAAATCCGCGTGGACTTCCGAGCTTTTATGTTTATGTCACATGTTGCTTCCCTAACAGACCTCCTGGCGTCGCACGAAGACACGACGGGAGGTGTGTGGCCGTTGTCGGCACCTGGCAGCGCGAGATGCCATACTCGGCGGCGCGCCTGGGGAAGAAGTGAGGAGAAGTAGGCATGCTCAAAAGGCGGCGCGGCGTCTCAGAAGCCCTGCGGCCTTCTGAAAGGTTGTCTGTTTTGTCTTCGAGGAAGGCTCAGACACCTTCTCAGAAAGCCCGAGGCCGTTCGAGCTTTCTCAGAAGGCCAGGCCCGCCCGCTCTTCACTTTTCCCACGGATTCGCCGCCGACTTACTGGGCCAAAGGACCGTTAAAAAGGCGACTCGGGGTAACAAGCTGGTCCCTGGAAAGGGGGGCAGAACTCTGGGAGCAACTTCGTGAGAAACAAGAAAAAACGTCGCCGATGCCTAGGGACGAAATCAGGATTGGCTGGACGAGCGCTCACGACACTCTCATCTTGCACATGGGAGTAAACCACTTCCTCTTCCTCCTCCTCCTCATCATATCACACGTAAACAATATGATCGCGACCTCGCAATTGCTGAAGTCTCCCCTCCTCGACGCCCCGTCGTTGTCGACTGCCCGCCTTCACAATCCTCATAATCATCATCAGCATCGTCATCAGCAGCAGCATCATCACCACCATCATCAGCATCTGCATCATCAGCATCGTCAGCATCATCATTAACATAATCATCATCATGACCATCATCATTATCATCAACAAAATCTGAATCAGCATCCTTCTCGCATCATCGTCAACATCATCAACCTCGTCATCCACCACCACCATCATCATCACCAGCGGCAGCATCATCATCCTGACCATCAGCATCAACAGCATCCTCATCATAATACACATCCTCGTCATCATCCTCATCTTCAGCAGCATCATCATCGTCATGCTCATCATCGCCACCGACACCATCACCACCAACAGCATCAGCATAATAATCATCATCATCATGATCCTCATCATTATCATCCGCATCATCATCATCTGCATCATGATCACCATCACCATCACCATCATCATCAACAGCATTATCATCATCGCCGCCACCACCACCACCATCATCCTCACCATCAACATCATCGCCAGTGCTTCCAGTGAACAAAGGAGACCCACACCTCCATGCATTCTCACACTCCTCCGTCCTTCTCCCCCGCACCTATTATTATTCCCTTTTAATGTCCTCCGTATCATCCTTTCCTCCTGTTTCTGTCTCCTCCTGCTTCTGCTTGTTCTGATCCTCCAGGCTTCTCTCCCCTCCTCGTCATGCCCCCCCATCCTCTCTTACCTGCTCGTAGTCCTGCGTCCGCGTCGTCCCTTTCATCCCCAAAACCTGCTCCTGGGCAGGTAGGTGGCTCATCCTTCTGGTGTTCCTCAACCATCTCCTCCTCCTCCTTCTCCTCCTCGTCCTTATCTATTACTCCCCCCTCCTCGCGCCTCGCCAACTCCTCAACTACCTCCTGCTCCTGCTCATCCTCGTCCATTGGGCAGGTTAAATATCCTCCTCCTCCTCCTCCTCCTCCTCCTCCTCCTCCTCCTCCTGCTCCTCCTCCTATTCCTCCTCCTCCTCCTTCTCCTCCTCCTCCACCTCCTCCTCCTCCTCCTCCTCCTTCTCCTCCTCCTCCTCCTCCTCCTCCTTCTCCACCTCCTCCTCCCCTCTTACCTTCTTTCTCATCCTCATCCTCCGCCTCTGCACCCTCCTCCCCGTCTACCTATCTTCCTCATTCCCTTCTATTCTTGCGGGTGGGTGATTGGCGACCTCGTCGTCGCCACCCACGATCAGCACCCTGTCCGCCACGGGGGACAGCCACGTGCCCTCGACGGTGACCTGCCGAACAAAAACGAAGGAGGAGCAGAAAGGGTCGAAACGTGCGGAGGATGCGGATGAGCTCCGAGGATGGGCAGGAGGAAGAGGAACAAGAGGAATACGAGATATGACAGGCACAGGATCACAGGATGTGAGAAAAGGACTGACGGAGTGCCAGACTGACGCGCCCACCGGCCTCCTTTACCGGCCCCTGATCCGGCCAAATCTCAGAGAGTCCGGGGGTCACGGGCGCCCGTAGAGTCGAAGCTGGGCCTCCCACCTGCCACCTTGCCCCGTGAGGTTAGGCCTGGGAGGGATAGGCAAAGATGGAGGAGGAGGGTTAGGCCTGCGAGGGTTAGGCCTGCGAGGGATAGGCGTCAGGTTAGGCCCTGCCCTGAGGCGCCCCAGCGAAGGCCTGCGAGGGATGGGCAGGAATGGAAGTGGAGGGCGAGGACGCACAGGGGGGACGCAAGAAGAGGAGCCGCGACGCGAGAGGAGGGCGAGAGGGGAGAACCTCTCCTCGCTTCTCCCCCCCGCTGCACTCCCCTGTCCCTGCATCTCCCTTCGACGAGCGCTGGCGGGGAGAGGAGGGGCGGCGAGAACCCTAACGACCCTGCCCCCTCGAGCCTCGCCGTCACCTCGAGGCGCTGGGGGGGGGGGGGGGGGGCGACCTGCCGTCCTCTCCACTGATCCTCCTCCTCCTCCTCCTCCTCCTCCTCCTCCTCCTCCTCCTCCTCCTCCTCCTCCTCCTACTCATTCTCCTTCTCCTCTTGCTCGCCCCGCTTCTTGCACGTCGCGCCAAGCCGCCTCCCCTTCAACCGCCTCCTCCTCGGGAGGGGCGAGTGGCAGAGGCAGGGGGGGGAAATGGATACGGACGAGCAGGAGCGCCAGGCTGAAGGATGTGAGGCGTGGAGACGAAGTCGAAGGCGCGTCGGCGCTCTTGCGCGCCAGAGAGCGGAGATGAGAGCGCGACAATGTTCGGGCGGCCGTGGGCCTGGAACGGGGAGTCCACCGCGATGGCGGCTGGGTACGTGTAGACTCTCTGGGGCGCCGCCTTCCCAAGTGCCCTCCGCCCGCTGTGCCAGAGGACAGGGAGCAGGAGGGGAGCGAGCGGGCGGCGGAGAGGAAGCCGGCGGGAGGAACGAGGGCCCAGCGCCAGAAAGGAAGGGGCACGAGCGGGAGACGGAGGAAGAGGAGCGGTAAGAGGAGGCAGAGCGGGAGGATGTGAAGGAGGTGCGAGAGGATCAAGTGCTGCGGGAGAAAGAGGGGGATAAAGAGAGAGAGAGAGAGAGAGAGAGAGCGAGAGAGAGAGGAAGAGATGAGTAGCAAGAGGAGGAGTTGAAGGAAGAGGTTTGTCGACCAGGGCTGAGCAGCGACGGCTTCGCGCTGCGCCCGGTGGTGCTCCCCCCGCTCGCGGCCGTGCTGGCCGCCCTGAGGGCACGGGCCGCGCGCGTGGCGACGCCACGCTGCCCTGCGATGCAGGGGGGGCCAGCACGCCGGGGTGGGCACTGCCCCGACCGAGTGCAGGACGAGCCAAGCCGAGAGCAGCGACGAGCGGTGCTCGAATTCCAACGCTCGAGCGCTCGGGGCACCTGGTCGCTCGGCAACAGCTCGCGAGGAAAGGCCGCGGTCGAGAGGTTCATTGTGCTGCCTGCATGCTGCTGCTCACGTGCCAAACGCTCCCGAAATCCTCACGCAAAGAGACAGGCCCCCACTGAGGGGCAACGATCGGGGAGACTGGCATGTGGGGGAGGAAGCATCGACCGGGAGTCGGCGATACATCGCCGATAGATCGGCGATCGGCCGCCAATAATGAATCCGCACGTCCCTGGGCGGGGTGGGGCTATCAGACCCCTATCCGCATTCGGTGGCCGATTGGGGGTCGATGCATACCCCCCCCTTTGCCCATCCCCCCTATCGCTGCCCCTGGCCAGCCCTCACTACCCCTTCTGGAGGGTACACCAGGGAACATCCGCGGCCACGTCCTTGCGGCACCGCACTCTGGCAGGGCAAACTGGCCTCGTGCTGCCGCCGCCCCTTGCCGTCAGCCGCCGCCGTCCCGCGCCGTCCCGCGCCTCGCCCCACACGCTCGGAAAAAACATGCGCGCCTCGCGCGGGCACCCGTGCTTCTCCATTTTGGCCCGCACACGATCCATCGCAGGCCACCTCCTCGGCAGCCTCACGTTCCGGCGCAATGGCGCCTCAGAGTCACGGAGCTCTCGCAACGGCCCCTGACCCTCGCCCGTGATCAATCGCGTGCTGTCCGGGGGCGCGCTGGGCCGCCGCATCGGTCGCAACTCTTCGGCCCACTCATCGTCCAGCAGCGGTCTTGGGGGCGCCGCGGCGCCCTGCACAAGCCTGCCCATCTCACCCCGTATCGTCCCTGTCCTTCTCCACTGCTGCCGCCGCTCGCGCACCCGCATGCCCACCTCGCACTTGCGGGCGGCGCGGCCGCCGAGGGGCTGCGGAAGGCGCCGCTGGGAGCGGACGGCACCGCCGACACGGGGGGGGACAAGAGGGTACCGATACCGCTGCTCCACGGACCTCTCCTCGGGTGCGTTCTGACCCAAAACTTCGAGGAGGATCCACCCGTGGCGACAAGGGCTCTCCAGGACTGAAGGGGCCCTAGGACACACAAAGAAATACACACACATAAAAACATGTCCCATAGTATCCCATATTTGTTTGGCTCTTGTCTTCCCCCCCACTTCCCATAGTTCTGCATCTTTTCCTGGGAGTCGACGATTCATTGTGTCTGTGTGCTTCTTTCCCTCCTGAAGGACGAGCATTGGTAATGGTACCCGCCGTGCCTCCTCCTCCTCCTCCTCCTCCTCCTCCCCCTCCTCCTCCTCCTCCTTGGTATTGGTAATGGTACCCTTTTCTCTTGTGACGCACGGCGGTCGCCGTGCGGATCGGGCCCTCGGTGGGGCGCAGAGGGCGCACCGCCTCGTGCCACTCCGCATATCTCCGCACTGCCAGCGGGGCCCAGCCGACGCGTGGCAACGCGCCACGCGCGGCTTCCCGGGTGGCGCTGGCCGTCCGCGGCATCCGCGGCAGCAGACAGGAGGACGACTGAGAATCATCACGATGCTGGCGATACTGGGATTGCTGGCGCTGATGCGGATCGTGGCGAGAATGATGCCGGTGCTGATGCCTGATGCTGGTGCTGGTGCTGGTGCTGATGCTGATGCTGATGCTGGTGCTGGTGCTGATGTTGGTAGTGATGATGATGCTCGTGATGATGCTGCTGACGATAATGAAGATGATAATGATGATCATGGTGATAATGGTGATAATGGTGATGATGACGCTGATGTTGATGCGGATGTGACTGCGGATGTGGATGATGATGACGAAGACGATGATGCAGACGAGGCCGATTACGATGACGATGCTAATGCTGCTGATGGTGATGGTGGTGATGGTGATGCTGATGCTGATGCTAATGCTGATGATGATGACGACGATGATGATGGTGATGATGATGATGATGACGGTGATGATGATTATGATGGGAGGAGGAGGAGGAGGAGGAGGAGGAGGAGGAGGAGGGAGATGATGGTCAGGATGAGGGTCAGGATGCTGATGAGGAAGAGGGCGAGGATCAGGAGGGGGACCAGCGGCGTGCGGAATGCGGAGGCCTATCGAAAACGAAGCGTGCTAGCTAACTTGGTCTCTTCCAACTAGGAATGCGAAGACCCCAAACATGCAAGACCTGCGAAGCGTTATGCACCTTGTCACCAAGGGTCCACACCAACACCCTGCCAATGAGGAGCCAATTCAGACCCCAAGCGCCGAGAGGAGAACAAGGAGAAAGAGGGGGAGCCTCCGCCGTGACCGCTGTTCCCCCCGACTTTCCAGCTACCTGGCCCGGTGGGCCCCTGGTCGCCTCCCCCCCCCTCTCCATCGATTCGGACCGTCCCCTCGCCTCGCCTGATCGAACGGGTGGGCGGTTCATCTTCTCTCCTTTCACTCGCCTGTATTCGATCATCTTCGTTTTCCATCTGCTCCTCCACCTCATCATCCTCCCCACCGGCGTCGCAACAGTCACCATCACCATCACCAACAATAACAACACCACCAGAATCACCGACGCCACCATCATCATCGCCAACGCCATCATCTCTATCACCATCACCACCGCCACCACCATCCTCCTCCACCTCCTCCCCCTCCTCATCATCACCATCAGATCTATGGTCGCCTTGCCTCGTCCGTCCTCGGGCCCGTCCTGTCTGGCTGGAATCGCTCTCCAGTCACCGGTGGTCGTCGCATCCGCGCGGCTGGGTGCAGACGCAACAGGGTGTCGGACCATCAGGCAACCGTTGCGGCTGCACCGCGCGGTCGCGGCTCCTCCTCAGATCCCAACAATGTGCTGGTTCATCATCTGCTGTATTCCTACCCTAGGCATGCGATCGATGAGTACTGGCTTCGCCCAGAGAGCGGAAGTGGGATTCCCGCCACCGTCGCTGTCTATTACAACCGCTTCCTTCCACGAGGTGCGCATTCATCTCCCCGTCACGCTGTTGGGTGGAGAGCCACATCTATGGGCTGAGCTCCAGGTAACCCTCGTGCGCTGGCGGCGCCGGTGCAAGGCAGTCAACGGGCTCGGACATTCCATCTGGTGCCTTTGTGCCAGCAGCGCCGTGTGATCTAGATCGTGGTTCCCTGGTGCGCGGTCTCGCGCTTTCAAGTTGGCCACCGCGCTATATGTCATATTGTTTTGGTTCTTCGTGGTGCGCACCTTCGTGGGGCAATTCGTCGGAAAGCTCTTCATCGGTAAGTGTTTGGTTGAGTGCGTTATCGTGGAAGCCTGCGTCGTGGCGTGCCCCACCGCGGCGTGGTTCACCGTGGAGTAGTTCGTGGGGGGCTTCGCTGTCGAGTATGTCATCGGAGCGTGTTACATCGTGGCGTGTTCCATGGTGGTGTCGGGGACGGGCTTCCTCAGGGAGTTTCGTGCTTGATCGTGGGGTGGTACGTTGCGGAAGGCCCGATCGGGGGGTTCATCGCGGAAGGCTTCATCATGGTCTTATTCGGGGTGGCGCGCTTTGTCACGCAGGCGAACCTGATCGAGGAGGGCTCCCTGGAGGGCTTCATAGTGGCGTGTTTCCTCGGAGAAGTGTGCTTCAAGGAGAATTGCTTCATCGTGGTGTGCTTCACGGAAGCGTGCTTCACGGAGGCGTGCCGCCTAGCGGCGTGCATCACCAATTGCGTGCGTGTTTCATCGTGGCGGGCTTCATCGGGGAGAGCTGCAGCAAGGGCTTCCTCGTCGTGGCGTGCTTCATCGTGGCGTGGTCCATCGTGGAGGGCTTCTTCGGGGGTGCTTCAATGCGACGTGAATTGTGGCGTGCCTCAACGAGGCGTGCTTCCTAGCGGCGTACTTCGTAGAGGGGTGCTTCACCAGGAAGCTTCATCACGGGAGTGCTTCATCAAGCGTGCTTCGTCTCGGCGAGCTTCATCGTGGCGTGCTTCCCCGAGGGGCTCCACGGGAGGCGTGCTTCACGGAGGGATGCTTCATCAAGACTCTCGTTTTCTGGGGGATGACTTTCGGTAAGTCGACATCTCTGTAGTCGCCTTGCTTCGTCCGTCCTGTGGCCCATACTGCCTGGCTGGAGTCGTTCTATAGTTCCAGGTGGCCGTCACACCCGCGCAGCAGGGTGCAAACACAGCAGGGTGTGCCAGACCATCGGGCAAACGTTGCGGCTGCATCGCGCGGGCGCGGCTCCCCGTCAGAGCCCATCAACGTGGTGGCTCGTCACCTCCTGCAACCGATCATGATCATCAGCATCGTCATATTCACAATCATTTTTATCACCACACTCATCGTCATCATCGTCATCATCCTCAGCATCACCCTCGCCGCCATCATTATCATCAGCAGCAGCAGCACCTCCAGTAGCATCAGCATCATGATCATCATCATTACCTGCATCATCAACATCATCAGCAGCAGCATCATCATCATCCGCATCATCATCATCAGCATCATCAGCAGCAGCATCAGCATCATCATCGTTATCACCATCAGTACCATCATCGTAAGTACTAGCATTATCACCATTCCCGACCTCACCATCAACATCATCAGCATCGTTGTCTCCAACGTGATCAATACCATCGCACTTTCATCATCTTACTCATTCGTACCCATCATCCTCATCAGCAAGACCATCCCCATTACCATTACCATCACCATCAACGCCAGTATCACCAGCAACATCGCCAAAACCACCGCATCACCAACTCATCATGCTCAACATCCTCCGCATCCACAGCAGCTTCACCACCCGAATACCCATTATTACCATCATTATCATCATCATCACCAGCACCATCAGCATCATCAGCATCATCACCATCAGCATCATCAACATCACCACCATCGCAACCATCACCACCATCACAAGCATCGTAAACATCACCATGTCCATCATCATCGTTTTCAGCACCAGCAGCATTAACATCGCGGTTTCTGACGTGATCGTTATCATCGTTGTCATCATCATCATCTTCACCATCATCATCATTCGTGATCAACATCATGCCCATCACCATCGCCATCCCATCACCATCATCATCACCATCGTCATGAGCCTCACCATCACCGAACGTATCACCACCATCATCGCCAAGTCCATCTTATCACCAACTCATCATCCTCAGCATCCTCCTCATCAACATCAGCATCACCACCAGCATACACATTATCATCATATTCATCATCATTATCAGCATCATCATCACCATCCTCATCATCCTCATCACCATCATCATCACCCTCACCAGCACCACCATCACAGCCACCACGACCACCACCAACACCAGCATCGTCACCATCACCGTCACCATCATCGTCACCATCATCAGCAGCATCATCATCATCGAGAGAGCGTGATCCACCGCCGCTTTACTGGAAAATTGCCGCCCTTTTCCTCCGGAACCCGGGGGTCCCCCCCCCCCCTCCGAAACCCCCCCCCCCTGCTGGACCCCCCCCCCTCCCCCGGCAAAACCCCCCCCTCCCCTAACCCCTCCCCCCCCCCCTCGAAACCGGGGGGGGTCACTACCGGTTCGAACCCCCCCCCCCCCTCGAAAACCGAGGGGGGGGTCACTACCGGTTCGAACCACTGAGCTGTCCCACTGTTCCCACCACTGTCCCCACTGTCCCCACCACTGTCCCCACTGTACCTCTGTCCCATTGTCCCACCGCCGTCCTCGCCACCGCCTTCACCACTGTCCCCACCACCACTGTACCCTCCACTGTCCTACTGTTTCCACCACATTCCCACTGTCCCCACACCACTGTCCCCACCACCACCGTCCCCACCACTGTCCCACTGTCCCCACTGTTCCCACCATTGTCCTCACCATTGTCCCCACCACTACCGTCCCCACCACTGTCCCACTGTCCCCACCACTGTCCCGCTGTCCCCTCACCACTGTCCCCACCACCACCGTCCCCACCACTGTCCGCACCCCCCCTCGGTTTTTGAGGGGGGGGGGGGGGTTCGAACCGGTAGTGACCCCCCCCGGTTTTCGAGTTCGAGGGGGGGGGGGGGGTTCGAACCGGTAGTGACCCCCCCCCCTTTTCATGATGAACTGAGGGGGGGGGAGGGGTTCGAACCGGTAGTGACCCCCCCCGGTTTTCCGGAGGGGGGGGGGGAGGGGTTCGAACCAGTAGTGACCCCCCCCCCGGTTTTCCGCCATCAGCGGTAGAACACGCTCTTTCTCATCATCATCATCATCATCATCATCATCATCATCATCATCATCATCATCAGCAGCAGCAGCAGCAGCAGCATCATTAACAGCGTGGTCTCCAACGTGATCGTTACCATTGTTACCGTCATCATTGTCATCATCACAACACGGAATCATCACCATCCTCATCATCATCATCATCACCATCATCATCATCATCATCATCATCATCATCATCATCATCATCATCATCATCATCACCATCCCCATCACCATCCCCATCACCATCACCATTACCAGCGTCATCATCCTCACCATCACCATCACCGCCAGTATCACCACCACCGTCGCCAATACCATCGTATCACAAATTCATCATCCTTAGCATGATCCTCATCCACATCAGCGTCATCACCAGCATACTCAGTATCATTATAATCATCGGCATCATCATCAACAACATCACCACCGTCACAGCCACCACAACCACCATCACCAGCATCGTCACCATCACCATAACCATCACCATCACCAGAACTCCCCCTGGGGCTTCGGCCCGTACACCGGGGCCCCCGCAAGACCCATAGGACGCCCAAGCCAGCGCCCAATTCCCAAATGTTCCTCCAAGGCGATTCAAGAAGGCCTCCAAGATGGTGGCCCAAGATGGCCTCCAAGATGGTCAAAGATGGCCTCCATTTCCGCCCAAGATGGTCCAAGACGGCCTCCAAGACGGCCCAAGAGTGTCCAAGATACCTCCAAGTTCGCCCAAGAAGCCTCCAAAACTGCCCAAGACGCCTCCAAGACGGCCCAAGACGGCCCAAAAGGCCTCCAAGACGCCTCCAAGACAGCCCAAGGCGGCCCAAGAGGCCTCCAAGAGGGCCTCCAGGAACGCCAGAAAAGGCCAACAATAATGATTTACCAAAGGTTTTGAAGGACTTTGACAATTGCTTCTTCTCGGCCTTCCGACTGCCCGAGACGGCCCAAGAGCCCCAACGATCGCCCAAAGATCGCCCAAGAGGCCTCCAAGATGGCCCCAGAACGGCCCAAGAGGCCCCCAAGACGGCCCCAAGAGGCCCCCAAGGCGGCCCAGGAGGCCTTTAAGACGCCCAAGATGGCCTCCAAGACGACCCTGGAGCATTCCAAGAGGGCCCCAAGTCGGCAAAATGAGGCCCCCCAAATGGCTTCCGACGGCGTCAGACGGGCCAGAAGCCCACCAAGACGGCCGAAGATGGCCCTAAGATGAGATTGTGAAGGATTTTGACATTTGCGTGTGTTCTGCCTTCCGACGGCCCGAGACGGCCCAGGTGCCCCCAAAGATCGCCCAAGAGGCCCAAGACGGCCCTAGGAGGCCCCCAAGACGGCCCAAGAGGCCTCCAAGACGCCCTCGACTCCTCCTCCTCCTCATCTCCTCCTCCATGTGTCTCTCCTCCTTCTCCTCCTCCTTCTTCCTTCTCCTCCTCCTCCTCCTCCTCCTCCTCCTCCTCCTCATCTTCCCCGCCATTTTCCCAGAGGTGTTCCCCGAAGAGTTTCCACAACGGTTTGGGGAACACATGGTCCGACAGCTCGGCAGAGCTCTTGCCACAACGCTCGGACACATGAGCGCTTTCAAACCTCTTGCTCCCCCACGCGTTCCCCGAAGGCTCTCCAAACCGACTCGGGGAACAACTAGCCCGCTAGCTTGGCCAGGCTCTAGCCCAGCTGTCAGCCACATAAGCGCTTCCACAAGGGCAGGGGGCGGCGGTGATTCGCCGTAGACGTCTTCGATATTACGCATCGCCATCACCGCCATCGTAAGATTAACGCATCAGCATCATCAGCCTCATCATCATCCTCATAATCACCATCATAACCATCATCAACAGCAAATCAGCATCAGCATCATCACCATCATCATCATCATCATCATCATCATCATCATCATCAATAACACCATGGTTATGATGACCTTCAGCATCACCATCGTAATACCATCCTCACCAACAACAAGGCCACCATCATAATCAGCATCATCACCAACAGCAACAACCACATCATAATCACCTTGATCAACAACATCATCAAGCTTCGCACCGTCGTATAGCCAGCATCATAATCAGCAACATCATCATCATTACCATCTTCACCATCATCACTATCACCATCATCATCATCATCATCATCATCATCATCATCATCATCATCAGAACCATGATCATCATCATCATCATCACAATTACTCATCATCATCATCATCATCATCATCATCATCATCATCATCCACAGCATCAGCATCACCATCACACCATCATTAGCATTATCAACAACAGCAACAACAACAACAACAACAACAACAACTTCATTACCAGCTTCACCACCACCTGGAAAATTCTATGCTGGCTGCGCCAACTGCGAATCTACCCGAGCAAGACAATGTTAACACATGGGCGCTGGCCAGAAAGTTTAGAACTATTGAAATCACATGGGGCATACAATAGTCGGCACTTTGGGGGGTCGGGGGACACGCCGATTTGGGCTCGATCTGGGGCCCTGCGGGGGCTGCCAATCCTCGTGTTTCGCGAACAACTCAAACGTCGGATACGTATACCAGTGTACAAGCACAGGGTGGTCAAGCAAGAACAGGACGAACGTCAGAATGTCATTGCGAACTCGCACCAGACGTGAGTTCTGCAATCAGTAGCTCACTTGGCATCCTGGATCCTTCTTTGAAGGCGTGCGTTGCTTCACACTTTCTGCGCGCATCCCGGACCATCTTTCTTCCTGATGCCCGCGCTCCCCTGAAGTCCAGAGGGCACGAATCCTCGTTGCAAGGCCTCTCCTCCGTGAGCACGGAAGGGCACGCTTCGCCGTTGCCGAAGGCCTGGGTGACGACATCACGGCTCCACACCTGTGGAAGACAGCCAAATCCGCGTCTCCCCCCTCGTCTGTGCTCCCAAGTCCTTCTGTGTCTCCTCCGCCTCCTCCTTTGGCCTCCTCTTTCCTGTGCTGACTGTTGCTCTGGCCACGAAGTATCTTTCAGCAGCGCCGAATTACCTGAGATTCACGTCGGGGCAACATGCCTGCATGCGGCTTTCGGAATAAAATCATGGAGATCATCATGCACCGACATGTGTACATACCGACGCTGTCACGGTCACTCCAAGAGTCGTGGACCTCACGAACACTTGACTGTGAAAAGGGCCCATACGTCAGGTTCAGCTGGCGATCCCCGTGAGCAGGATGGGGCAAAGCGACGATTGGCACAACACACTGTTCGTCAAGACTGCAGCCCGGAACAGCTTAGTCGGACCGCAAGTGTACTGTCCTGGTTACTTGGGCCCCATCCATGTCTGGGGAGTCCACTTGGACGCCCGAGTTATCCGGGGTAACTCGGGTCCGGGGTAACTCGGGTTTGGGTTCCCCAAAAACGAACCCGAGTTAACCCTGACCCGAGTTATCCCTGATGATTCGGGGCTCTGGACGCCCAAAATATCCGGGGTAACTCGGGTCCGGGGTAATTCGGGTTCGGATTCCCGAAAAACGAACCCGAATTATCCCTGACCCGAGTTACCCCTGATGATTCGGGGCTCTGATCCACCGCTTCTACTGACTATCGTCGGTTGTCGGGGGCGCGGCCGACGTCTCGCAGACGGCCATCGAGGCCGGAGCTCGGACGCGAAACGAAGCCGGAGGCACGGATGCCTCAGGCTTTGCCGGCAGGGTGGCCCCCAAGTGGGCCTTGGGAAAGCAACACCCTCCTGCCCAGAGCCTGCTCAGCACAGAGGCCCCCACAAATACTGCCCCTCGGCCTCCGACAATGCTTTGTATCACCCAGATTTCATGCGTTGTGACACCTTCGCGGCGCAGTTCCCAACAAACTATCGCCAGCGTTTCCAGTGTGTGTGTGTGTGAGAGAGAGAGAGAGTGTGTGTGCGTGAGTGCGCGTGTGTGAGTGTATGTGTGTTCGTCGCATGTCGCTATTTGATGGCCAAGGGCCCCGGAAGCAGGGTCCAGAGCTCGAGGTTGCCGAACAAGACCTATCACGCTTGTCTTGCGAAGCCTACAGGTCTGGCCAAGTGTTCCCTCTTGGCCGCAATCCCGACGAGCTTTCATCAACCAGGACCACTCGTGGCGATGAGAACTCCGGCGGAGGCCTCCGCAGGATCCCAGCTCAGAGAGAACCGAACATGTCAACAATCCTTGGCCCTCTTCCTCCGCCTTCCGCTCCCTTCGGCGACTCAAAGATGAGGCCCTCAGGGATGGGGCCCTCCGAAGGTTGCATTTCAACTGCTCCCCGCTCTTCTTCATCTCCACCTCCTCCTCCTCCTTCTCCCCCCCCTCCCCCTCCTCCTCCTCCTCCTCCTCCTCCTCCTCCTCCTCCTCCTCCTCCTCCTCCTCCTCCTCCTTCGCCTCCCCCTCCCTCCCTGGGGCCCCATCCCTCAGCGCCCCCTCGCTCTGCCGTCGGGGAGTGGCCTCCGGCAGGCTCGCTCACCCCGAGGGCAGCAAAAAGAAGGGAGCGGGGCGCAGGGAGCAAAACCCCGTGCGCCCGTCGCCTCGCTCCAGTGGCCGCTGGCCTGTCGCTTCGACCATGGAGTCCTCCCAGATGGGGTCAAGGGAGATGGGTTCGGAGGATCGGGCCGCCTTGTCGGTGCATCGCCGCCGCATGGTCGCGACGCATCAGCGATACATCGGCGACGTCGGCGATGCATCGGCGACGTCGGCGTACAGAAAAGCAGGCTGCACACCGAACCGCAGCGGATGTATCGGCGATGCGGCAGAAGCCCCCGTCCCCATCTACTCCGATCCCATCTGGGACGCCCTCTGGCCAGATCCTCTGCTTTGTCCCCAGTCCTCTGGCGGCACGAGCAAGTCGCGCCAGATGCTGTTTGTCATTTGCGGCTTCCAGGGGCCGCTTTCGGGCCGGGCAACAGTCAAATCCTAACCCGATTGGAAACGCGGCCAGATATATGAGGAACGAGCCCAGACACCTGGGAAACATTTGTGTACGTCGCAGCTCGGCAAAGGCAATCCGCGCAAGCGCTCGCAATAGTCGGGAGCGCGGACTAACTAATTGCCCGGGTGCAAGAGAAGAGGCGCGGGAAGACAGTGCGGCCGTGGAGAGGGCCCGCACGGCCGACAGCGTTTCAGGATGAGCGAACCAGAGCGGCCAGCCAGGGCTGAATTGACCTGGCAGTCACCTGGGAAACTCATAACTCGGTGGCGCGCAAACATGGATTAGCGATCCGTGGATTTGGCGCGCGGTCGCCAAATCCATGGATCGGGGGAGGTGCCCCCCCAAAATGCAGCCGGTGAGGCCTCGTTCGGCGAGTAAAACTCCTCGAGTTCCCACGGAAAGGGGACCCGTCGCTAATCCACGCCCCCTTGATCCATGTTTGCGATCGCCTGAATAAACGCACACGAGGGAACGAGCTCAGGGATCTGGTGAGCGAGTCCAGAGATCCGGGGTCGTCGGAGGCTTGGTTTCGTCCCTTCTGTCGCCTCCTCCCCCGTCGGGGGCGAGGGAGGGAGGTGGAGGTGGACGAAAAGGGGCAGGGAAAGGAGGAGAGGCAAGGGCCGAAAGAGAGAGAGAGAGAGAGGACGGAGAGAAAGAGAGAAAGAGAGAGAGAGAGAGAAAGAGAGAAACAGAAACAGAATAAGTGAGCTCCCGGGAGGATGGAAGGGGGATGAGGTCGGAGAGGGGGAAGGGGGAAAAGCGAGAAGGAGGGAACGAGAGAACAGGGACCAGAGCTCAGACTCATCCTCCCACCACCCCCGACCCTGGACCTCCAGGGAAATACGGGGCCCATCTGCTTTGACGCACCTCGCCTCCCCAGCGAACTCGTTGAAGAGGCAAGAGCACGCACGTGCCCCACGCGCGCGAGCGCTCTCTCTGAGGAGGAGGAGGAGGAGGAGGAGGAGGAGGAGGAGGAGGAGGAGGAGGAGGAGGAGGAGGCTCGTTGGTGCACGTCCCCCCCCGCCGCCCCCGATCCCCGACCCCCCGTGCCTTCTCATCCCCCTCCCATCCGCCGGCGAAGCACGCAGAGCTTCGGAGCAGGATGGGGAGGAGGGGTGAGGGCGGAGAGAGGGCGGAGAGAGAGAGAGAGACAGAGAGGACTGAGAGAGAGAGAAGGAGAGAAACAAAAAGAAAAACGAAGAGAGGACGGAGAGAGAAAGAGAGAGAAAGAGAGAGAGAGAGATGTGTATATATACACACATATAGGAAAGAGAGAGAGAGAGAGAGATAGAGAGAGAGAGAGAGAGAGCCGGGGAGGATGGAAGAGGGACGGGGTCGGAGAGGGGGAAGAAGCGTGAAGCGGGAAGGAGGGAAGGAGAGAGAAGCGGGACCAGAGCTCAGACCCATCCTCCCACCACCACGCGACCCCCTGCCTCCCTGCCTTCATCCTCTCGGGCAAGCCGCAGGGGCGCAGAGGCGTCAAAGGCTGCAGAGCCGGGCCGCAAGCGGCCCGCGCGCGCCCTGCTGGCAGAGGCCCAGTAGCAGACACACAGACAGGGAGCATGGCGGATGACAGTGCTCAAGGAACCAGTCCTCCCCGAACTTCACAGACTGCCTTCTCCTCCCAGCTCGGACTCGTCCCCCCAAACTCAGACTCATCCCGCCACCCCCCCCCGCCCGCCCCCCTGGACCTCTCCTGGCCTCCTCCTCGCGCTCCCCCGCCGACGAAGCACCACGCTTCAGGGGCACCCGCGCGACCTGCACACCGCCGTCGCACGGCCGGCTGCAGTCGCCTGCCTCCACCCAGTCGGAGAGGACGCAGTCGGCCATGTTGTCCACGGTGACCTTCCCAAGCCAGACCTGGAGCGTGGGCGTCGCATCATGGGGGGGGGGCGACTGATGGGGGGGCGACGAAGCGTGCAGAGAGCCCCTAAGGTGCACCTTGCTTCCCCCCCCTGTTTCGCCATGCCCGAAAAAACAGAGGGAAGGAGATCACCCGGAGGAAGAGGGAGGCCTTGAGATCTCACTTTTGATTGTTTTTCGCACGAGGCGTTGTTTCAGGCGCCAGGGGCATCACATATTGATCGAGCTCGAATAGTGACACAAGAAGATCAGGTCTGGGGCTCCCGTCGCATGTTTTCGCGATCTTCGCGACATAGAGTTTGTCCGCAACGTCGGATCTCGGGGGGAACAGAACAGGGAGTCCGCGCGCCAGCTCCAGTGGCTGGAGCGGCCCCCGAAGGGGCAGACATGCAAGTGGGGAAAAAGTGCAAACTGGTGAAGCCCGTGCACGGTAGGACACCTCACCCACCCAACGAATGCTTCCAACTTAGACGAGGCCGCCCAATAGATCGTTTAGCTCCGGTCTGGAACTACAGCGCCCAGGTTCAACAACCGCAAACATGGACAACATCGACAGGAGAAAGAAGGGAAACAACGACTCGGAGTACGGGCCGTGTCGGAGGTTGCCAGAAGTGCTCCCAGCTTTTCGGCCTTGTGGATAACCCTGGGGCCGTCTAGGCCTCGTGATGGGCGCTCTGGAAGCCACCTGCGCCTCCGTGGAAAAGCTGCGGGGTACTGGACTGGGGCCACCTGTCTCAACACACGACCGTGTGCGCAGCGGCCGCGGGCCCAAGGGCTCGGCGGGACATGGCCAGCCCATCCGGCCAATGGTAAGCACGGAAGCAGGCGAAAGGACAGGCGAAGTAAGCAGGCGACGACGACGATGAATGCGCAGGCGGAAGGCCAAGCCGTCAGGGCAAGGCATGCGGACTCAGGGTGTCCCCAAGATTGTCGGAGATGTCCCCCGAAGGAACCCCAGAAGTGCGCAAGATGCCTCATGAAAGGCCACGGACCACCGAAATCATCGAATACGCAAACAACTGTTCAATGTGGTTTGCGTTCCCCGTGTCACGGCCCAGCATGGGGCCTCGGGGGATCTAGAGCATTCCCCAAATTTGGCCCACCAAGAGAGCCTCAAAATGACCGCAAGAATCACAAAAATGCCCCGAGCCCAAGGCAGCCCAAGACACAGCCAAGACAACCCTCAACGCCTGAGACCAGATTGCGCCAAGACAAATCAAGGCGGCCCCGGGATATACCCCAGACGCGCTAATGAGGACGTCATGAAAGGGCCCAAAACCGAAGGGCACCGAGTCCACAGACAGCACAAGACGGCCCTGAGAGGCCTACGGCATCCCAAGAGGTCTCGAGGAAGTCCCGAAGACGATCCCGAAAAAACACCCAGCACTGCAATGCAAACGCCACGAAACAAAGGAGGGCGACAACTGGATGGCCCATCATCAAAGACCTACAGCCTGACATTATGGCTCACTGCCCATCGAGGGGAATTGGAATCACACCCAAGTTATGTAATATTAAGACTGGTGGAGCACTCCATCAGCTCTGCTGGAACATCGGCATTTGGCGTCAACGTGTAATCGCGTGAGGCTCTCTCGACTACCAGATCCTAGGCTCAGAGTGTTCTCGAAGAGCTTCAAAACGACGTCCGAGTCGCCTTTGTTAGTGAAGTGCGTGCTCTTGAACGCCTCGCGGAAACCTTCGACTGTGTCGCCCTTTACACACTTCATATGCCTAATGAGTCTTCTGACTGGCTCGTGGGCCCCCGCATTCGCTATGTTCTCGAAGCTCATGGACAGGCAGAACTCCAATAGGCACCAGCCTCTGGAGATGTACTCCCTTCCGGTCTCGACACAGCTGTCCATGGGAAGCACGATCACCGGCGTGTTGCCAATGCTGTAGATCTGCTCCATGGCGGAGAGCGCCACCTTGAATTGAACCTCTTCCACCTCTGTGCGCACAGCCGGGTGCTCGCCAGGCTTGGGCATCCGCTGTCTCTCCTGCTCCATCAGTTGCAGCTCTGGACTTAGCTTGTTGTTCTGGGGCAGGCTCATGTAGTCAACAAACACAGCGTGGTCGCCGGAAGCCTGAAGCATGTCGAGCTGATGAACGAGCAGCCTCAACTTATCCCCCATCGGGTCTGGGTGCTCCTTGGACAACCACGGGTGCGAGAGCACGAACCTCTCCTTAGGCCCTGAACGGACAAGCGGAAAGCCCGTGCTGCCAACGAATACTTGGTCGGCCGGCACCTCCTGGCACCGGGGCATGACGGCGCCAGCCGCGGCTAGATGCCTCAGGTAGCTGCACCGCACCCACTTGACCTGCGCCCTGTCCAAGTACTCCAAGTACTCCTCGTAGAACGCCTGGAGCTGGTCGTCGGTGTAGGAGTTGATCGCCGAGAAGGCCTCCCTCGCGAGCACCCGCACGAACGCTGGCCCGACCAGCCCGGAGAAGAGCGCCACGGTGAAGCAGTCGAACAGTGCGTCGACCGCCGACATCCGATTCGATAGAATGGCTGTCTGGACGGTGGCGAACACCATGAGAAACGTGGAAGCGAACGAGAGCGCCAGACTGACCGCCGCCAGCATCACGAAGCAGCCTGCGCGCCTCTGCGAGCTGCCCCGGCAGCAGAGGGCGCGGGCCGCGGTGCCCAGGAGGCCCGACAGGCCGCACAAACACGCCAGGAGGTAGCAGAGCGCCGCAAAAAGCACTGCGGCGGCGACGATGTCATAGATGAGGGAGCCGTCAACGATAGGACAACCCAGAACACTTGCAAGCAGCAGCCCCGGCCCCAGCGACCCGCTAAGCAGGCACGCGGCCATGAGAGCGCGCACTGCCCGAGCCAGGCGCGGGCGGTCGAGCTCCTCGAGCTTGAGCGCGATGAGGACCTGGGTGACGGTCTTCAGCCCCAGCAAATCCACGGTGAGGACCCACTTGTGCCACAACTCGGGCCCGACGCGCCCAGTCAATTCGTGGAGACACCCCGAACTCCACGGGCGCAGGGCGAACAGAGCCGCGGCCACGCCCGCGCCCGCCCCGAAAGCCCTGGTCCACCGGTGCAGCGGCACTCCCGGCAGGAAGCCCACGCGCATCCACACGCACCAGGCCGCCAGCGCAGCGTACGGCAGGGCCACCGCGGGCCCCCAGAACGAGACCCTGCGAAAAAGAAGGGTGGAAACGAATATGCAGCTTACGCGCCGAGGCGTCTCCACACACCCGGATGCGTAAATCTGCTGGCAGGAACCTTCGCGTAGGCGAAACAGGCGAAACACACATATATCCACGTCCGGGGCCTCGCGGGCAGGGCCCCTAGGCCGCGACCCCGAGGATATGAGGTGCTTTTTCGCGGATGCCCCGCGCGGAACTTCTCCGTGCCACCGCATATCCCCGGGATCACGCCCAAGAACCCAGACCGCGAGGGCGCGGATACGGATGCTTCCGCCGCTCGCGAAGCCTGCGGCGCCGCACCTGGCGGGATCCCACACGCACAGCCACTCGTCGGCGCAGCCCGCGTACGGGCCCAGGTCGAACTCTTCCCAGTCATTGCCAAGGCCTACGTCGGCCAGGCGGTGGAGCTTCTCCGCCTGGCAGCGGCGGCCCGCCTCCTCTCCGCGGACGCAAGCGGGTATGAGATCAAGTGTGAGGCCCCGGGCGGGGCCCTTTATCCCCCACAAGCCACAAGTGGCCTCCGAGACTGCCAGAAGGCCCCCAAGAGGCCCCCAGAGCCCCCCCCCCAGAGCCCCCCAGGAGCCCCAAGAGGGCCCCAGGAGGCCCCACGAGGGCCCAAAACTGCCCCCGCGAGCACGTATGCAAGCGCCAATGATGCTACAAGATGGGCCGGCAGAGGCTCTTGTTCCATGGCGGCGGGAAATCTTCATGGCTCAGCGCGCCGCCCCAAATGAGGGGATCCGAACTTTCCAGCCGGCCTGGCACGAGCGTTCCCCGCGACAGAGAGGTGTATTTTACGAGCCGTGGGTTCATACAGATCCACCGCCAGGGGAACCGATGTCCAATTCCCCTGGAGCCAATAAACATGAATACCTTTGGGCCCCCCCAAAGCCCGACCGTATCCATACACACCGCCATCTGAGACCCTTTCGGACAAGGTTCTCCGAGAGGTGGGCATGGACCCCCGCCTTGGGATTTGGGATCCCTTCCCCCCATGTCCCTCGCCTTTGTTCCCTGCCCTGGCTCTGCGTGTTCTGCGTGTATACACCAAGGTATCTGGGCCCTGTCCCATGGGGCTTCTCGGAAACGCCATAGGACAACATGTAGAGCAACATGTTCTGGCCAAATCACTGGGCGACACGTGTTGAAACAAGTACAGATACATACATACACACATATATACGTGTATATATACACACACCTATACACACAAACACTACGAATCACGCACGCGCTTCGCGCGCGCTTAGGTCCCCGCACGCCCCAGCCCTTGACAAGCTGACGCGCACTATTTTTGTTGGGGGGCATCTCGGGGGCCTTGTGGACGCTATCGGGAGGTCCTGAGGGTTCCTTAATCTGAGAGCCCGTGTCATAGTTCCTCTGGGGCTTCCGCTGCCGGCGGTGGCGGCGACGGCGCCGAGGATCGTCAGGAATGCCTCGGGGCGTCTGGGGGGGTGGGGCTCTTGGGGGCCTTGTAGAGCTTCCTGGGAACTTGTTGGGCGCCTCTCAGGACCCCTTGGGGCCTCTTGGAGGACCCTTTGGGGGCCTCTTGGGGACTCCTGGGGACCTCTAGGGGCGAAGAGCTTCAAATGTCCGTTCGGGGACCCCCTCTGGGCCCCTTCCAGGGCTCCAGGGCCCTCCTCGGCAGTCTTGGGCCCACCTGGGCCGTTTTAGAGCCCTCGTCGGAGCCTCTTGGGCCGTCTTGGGACGATCTGGGGAGCCTCTCGGTGCTTTTGGACGCTGTGAAAGCCCAAGAGGCGAATATGGTACAAAACATGTTTGCCTCTGGGGGCCCTCTGGGGAGGCCTCTTGGGCCTCTTCGGGTGTCTTGA